CGTTTGTGAAAACTTGCTAGCTAGGAAAAATAAAAAAGTATAACGCGTAGAAAAATAAAATTCTTGAATATAATAAAAATATTGAATAATTTTCCGCTAAACAAAGCAGAATGTATGTATGCAGGCGCAAAAAGAATGCAGCTAGTTTTTATTTAAAAAAATGTAGTAGCCATACAAGAAATACAAGAAATTTGCAAATATTTGCAACTAAATCTTTAGGTGTATAATAAAATAAAATTCTGTTAAGTTTATTTTTAATAAATTTAATCAAAATAAAACGGATAAGATACATTAATAAAAAATATATCTAATGATTTTAGACTACATGAAAGTAAATTACATAATTATTACCGGTTTTTAATTCTCCACATAATTTTTGTATGACAGAAAATTCTTCTACATTTTTGACGTGTGTATTTTTATTAAAGAAGAAAATACAATTATTATATTACGTTAAAGCATTATGTTACAAAAATGGTACGAAATTAATTTAAGTAACAATATTAGACGAACTGCAAATATCTATTTAAGACCGATTTAGTCTCTGTAGAGGCAATAATATAAATATAACAATACATTTTCGATTAACAAAATATCGTGGTTCACTAATTAAATTATAGTGAATTAAAAGTTCCGAGAAATCTGCATCTTTTTATATTTCGACTTTGCCGTTCGTGTGGTAATGTTCTGTTATGCAACAATTTGTAACAAGCACAGCAGTATCACGGTAAACAGTGCAGCACGCGTAGAAGCATACAAAAAGTCCAATAAGAGAATACGTTCCATGCGTTGTGAGCTTTATGCGTAGCATAAAGGATTCAACTGTGTAAACATATATGCGCGAAAGTTCTTCAACTGTACTTCGAGAGTCTCGATTTTCGCCTTGCAAAATGTATCTCCGCGACAATTCCTGCATTTTCTAACGCTGCACTGCATAGTGAAATCTTCGATTTCCCGCAAATTTAACGAAAAGAGAGAATTGTAGAAAACATCTGGTATAGCCCTAACAATGCTAGTAATAACTTATAGCAAAAAGATTTAAAGAGCTCACTGGACAGATATATGTCGAAATTATTATCTCACGGTCGCTCATCTTTGAATAAATCGCAATTCCCTCAAATCCAATAAAATATTTCACAAATACCAAAGTGAGAATTCCCAGATGCATAAATATAATCGGCTATTTCAGTGACTGGATTCCCCCAGTTAAAAAATAAAATAAATTCAAAAATTTAATCTCAAAATAATCGTTGATCATAGAAATAAAGAAAATAAAAATTTAAACATTTAAAAGCAACCATTGCTTTCTCAAAATTTGTTGTGTAAAATGTGACATTTAAAAAATTCTAAGAATATAAAATAATAAATACCCTGATATATAATGTGTGTTTCATATAATGAATTTTGCGAAAACGTCACCGTCATGTACTTCATATTTAATTTATAAGACATGTAAATAAAATATTTGGTGTAGCACTTCTTACATTAAAAATATGAACATCAAATATTGTATATCGTTAACTATATTTTGAATTTTTACAAGTTCTTTTTATTGATATCGACAATTTATCGGACCAAAAGAACGCGCTTTCACTTTATTATATAAATTATTTTATAAATACATAACACGTACGATTATATTTTTGTAACATCATATTTTAATATGCAATATTTTGTAACATTCATACATCATATGAATAACAACTTGATTAATATGCGTTATGGAATCCGTCACTTATACGTATTAAATGAGTGATTTGAAATTCACTTTATTGAGTTTGCGACATTATCAATGGAATGCAAAGCGACATACTTTTAATTATGCGAGTTTAACTTTTATATTTCGTACGACAAATTACATCCATGTTGATGACGGTGGAATGATAAACTAATTTCCTTAATGAACGACAAAACTTCTAATTCTGCGTAACGTACATGAATCTCCAAAATGGAATTTCGCCAACCTTAATTTATCATACTGTCCCGAATCCAAATTTTTGAAACATGCCAAATTTATAACCACGTATAAACAAGTCATCTGTCAAGTTATCTGTTACAATAATTTCTTATGTAATTATTTAGAAACTCTTTACATTTCTTGAAGTGAAATTTCACTATAAAAGAGTGAAAATACTGCCACTATCAAGAGTGAAAAAGTTTTTGAATAAGAGTGGCAAATTTTCTTTTGGAGTGAAATTTCACACTTTTGGAATGAGATTCGCTCCAAAAAAAGAGTGAAATTTCTTTCCTTTAAAGTGAATCTCACTCCAAAGAAAGAGTAACACAATCTACCACTCTTCAAGTGTAAATTTTGTACTCTTTTTAAATAGTGGCAGTATTTTAACTCTTTTGAAATGAGTTCCAAGAAAGTTAGAGAGTATATCATTATTTACAATTAGGATAAAATCAGGGATTATGGCATAGGCTACTAATATGGAATAGTGGCTTATTTTTTTAAACAAAGCATTGCAATCTGGCGACAATCGCTGAAAGTTATTGCAACTGTTACCAAACATGTCATAACAAGCAATGAACTCGTGTTAGCATGCATATTAGTAACTTATTCGTGATCAGATTAGGTTAGGTTAGATTACAACATGTATTCTATATCAGTTTATTTGCGATTTTTTATTTATCCAGGCGTAATGTTAACGTTCGTAATGATGCTATTATATTTTCTGTGTTATTGTACAATAAAAATTTAACAATTTTCTATTTTTCTTGATCAGTTTATATAAATAAACAAATTTGGACTTCATTTATTGTGTTATTTATTACTATGGTCAAAATTTCATCGATATTCCATATTACATCCCATTTTTTAGACCCTCCCACTTTTTCTCACTTTTGACTTTTTTGTTAATATTGACGTTGGACTTAAATTTTGGCGACTTTCATTTATTGGATGTTGTAGCTAACATATTTCTCAAGAGTTCTGTGTAAATTTAAAGTCTTCATATGTATTTATATCGGAGCAATGTTAATTTAAAAAAAGCTATTCCATAATCCCTACTTTTACCCTATACAGAAAAATCACGCATCACTATTACAATATACATATACAGGTCAAAATGAGATATCTACTATTCAACCAAGTATATTGCATGTGACGAACAAGTTGATATCAATTCAACGGTTAAAAGGATGATATATACGAATTGAATTCAATAGATGGATCAAACGCGACAGAGTTAATAACGATGACAAGGGAACTTTCAACGCCAGCTGTGTTGCAGAGATATACATATCTCTTTGAGTATTTTAACTTACAACATTTTATGGCACAAATATAAATTACAGTAACAAAAGGATTATCGTAAATTTTGTCAACGGAAGTCTATTTACGATTTAAAAAATTTTTAAATATTCTTACGTGTAATTGATGCACTGTTTAATATAATTTTATATTTAACCAAAATTGAATTTGAATCTGTGAAGATAGCACAGTATTCTACTAATACTTCTACTTTAAAAAAAATGATTACAGTTCCAGTGGCACTCTCTTTTTATAGTTCTACAATTCTTATAAAAATAAAAAAAAAGTTCCGTATTTTTTATTCTAAAGTTAGAACGCCATATTTTTAATTTGGTTTTTTAGTATAAAAATGCGAAATTTTTTTATTTTTATTAGGAACTGCAGAACTATGAAAAGCGTATAAAACTGTTATTATTTTTTTTATATTAATAGAATGTCGTGCTAACTTCACAGATCCATGAATTGATATTTTTTAATTACTGTCAGTTTAACAATATTGTTATTGCACAAACAAAAAAGTTTATCGTATCACTGTTTATCAAAATTAAATTATAATCAGACAATTACCAATCAAATCATAGTTTTATGAACAATTTCTATGGTTTCCGAATTTTAGTTACACTAAAAAAAAATATAGTCAATTTTAATAAATATTTAGTTCAATACTGCCAACTAAACATTTACTTACAGTAAATAAATATTTGTTCAGTAAAAAAAATGATTATTAAATCAAATTAACATTTCTTGTATCAAATAAATATATCTTTATATTTAATAACCATTTAGTTGGCAGTATTCAACTAAATATTTATTAAAATTGACTATATTTTTTCAGTGTAGAAATAATATTCTTCACGCATTAACTTATCAAATATACTGATTCAAACAGTAAATTAATTCATAATAAGAAAGATTCAGTACTGAAAAGTTCGAAACATTTCGATTTCGATTGTTCGAGACAAAAATAAATAATGGTAGTTGAAATTTGTAAATTAGAAACTATAATATCATAAAAAATATATTTTTTCATTAATTTTATTCCTTTTAAGCACTTCGTATAAAACGGAGCAAAACCTTATTTTTTAATACAACTGGATAAACGAAGCATTTCTATGGGTCACTGCTCTCAGAAGAAATTTTCACGTAAAAATACGCGGTTTAAAGAAAATATATAAAAGCATTTGCGCCAGTTCCAATTATGTATCGCTCGTAATTTTATAAAATTATCATAGTCACACAGAAACTGGAACATTATAGCGAAGCTTTTTTAATTTATTCAATTGAGATAAAAAATATTACCGCTGCCTCAGTTATGTATATTGCACGCGCATATATATAATCAGATTTAAATTTAAAAGTTTCGAAAAATTCTACAAGAAAGACTCACCAGATAATTACATAATATTCAATTGTTAATCACAAATACATATTGCGACTTAAATACTTTATGGGAAAAATTAGTTTCCTATTATTGCTGAAAATTTAATTCTATCTCCGCATATACACTCATTCAAAGATGTCGCGAGAGAGTTAGAATTATTAAGCACCTGCAGTTCTTGTATGCTTGTATTATCCAATGTGACATAATAAAAAAGCAAGAAAAAAAGGCTTCCGACTTTCAAGGCACTCGCTTAATTCGCTCGTGCGTAAAGCTACAGCCATGGATAACGGTAGAGTGGCAAGTCTGCCTTGTGCATGTGCGGAGTTTCGTGATACCGGATAATACCATGGGGCATGTACTTACATACTACGGTGAGATTCTTCGAGGCGGAGGCTGTGGAGAAGGTTGGCGCGTCTGCCGTAACTTCGCAGATGAATGTACCCGAGAGGCCGAAGTCGACATTGCGAAGCGTTACCTGGCTGTTGTTCGACTTGTCGGGCTGAAACACACGTCCGCATAAGATGTACACAGCGAATAGGAATACCTACGTATCAGGCGCTACGGCCTAGGTTGTTATGCTGCGGTGAAGTAATGCCATTTACATGCGGACGTGATAACGTGATTCGATATAATCTCATTTGTTGAAAGATATTACACATGTTGAAGAGATTAGTTATTCATTGTCGTGATTCGATGTCTGTACATAATTATTAATCGAATTATAAACATGGATTTCCTATTAGCTATTTTATTAGTTAAAATATTTTGTATTATATTATATTTTATATATCTATGATATAAATAATTTTAACTATTAAAGATATTTAGCGCTGATAAGAATTATTTTTTTTTTAAATCTCTCATAAATATATAAAATTAGAATTTTTAAAAAGATGCACCGTTCTTTATTTCAGCAAATATTCCATGAATATCCTAGTTCTCGCATCGAAAGATGCCTGGTTCACTTGAGGGAACAATCACCTTATCAGAAAATTATCGGGCACTCGACTAAAGTGACCCGGAAAGCCAAGCTGGTAGAAGTCGTGCTACGGAAATAGAGGTAAAGCGACGTCGTGATGGCGATAGAGGCCGAATAGAGAAAGGTTTAATCGGAATAGGCAAAACGAAGCACGCATAATTAGCGATGCTTATATAATGAAAGAGGACGAGTGAACAGGAACACGCCGATGGCTGGGACGAGAAAAAGGATGAATTACAAGTTCTTTGACGAGCGAAAAAGGAGCGTGAAAGGCAAGTGAGCTCTCTTTTTGTTGATTTATGTGGACGAAGACGTGGAGTCCCCGGCTGACTTTACAGAAGCAGGAACAAAAGCTCAGCACGCCGCATGAGAGGAATAAATATGAAACCATAGCACTCTCACTCGGTGCTATCCAGGGAATAATCTCCGACGTGTAGCGTCTTGTCGTTCTCTCTTCCGACTGGCGATGACACTGATATCCTTGCGCGAGATACCCAATATTCGTGGCGTATGAATCGATCATTCCCAGGCTAATAACGTCCAGGATTAACAATTTTGCATGTCATCAAGTCTGTCGGATAAGCGCTACCAATACGTCATATGCATGAAAAATTAATGGAGCGCCAAAATAATTTATAATCAAGACATCCAATAATAATAATAATAATAATAATATTTTATTGACGTGCAAGATAATATGATTTTATAAACGTGAGTGCGGTATAATTTAGAGTAACATTCGAAAAAATAAAGCATCAAAAGAAATAGCGTTGTTGTTTAAGAATCTAGACCTTTGTAACTCAATTTTTATCTTTTCTTTATAAAATTATATAAGTTTTTTTTCAAAATATATATGTACAATTATTGTAAAATTAAATCCGTTATTTCTCGGAACTAATAATTCACCTGTAATTACTATTTTAACGTTCTTTTCTCATTCAAAGTTTTAAAAAGACATCATTGACATAAAGTCATTATTTGCGGTTTCTTTTATCTAAAGGATTCGATCGTGCGGTAACATGCCCATTGCGATAAATTGTCTTTTTTATAGACCGTTACTTGTTCGATACTTGTTTGAATTCCTACTAGAATGGGTTGCAACGATGTCAATATGCTGGAAACGTGGTATCTATACTTCTCGAACGAGCGTCAGGACTTGGTTTGGTCGGGAATTGCAAATAGATATTGGGAACTAACCGTCGCGACTTCGGGCACTGCATTGTGAAATAATGGGTCAACGCTCGTAGGTCATGCGTCCTGTGGCTCTTTTTGCTTGCTAACTCACTCATCCGTTGTCTTTAACGTTACAAAATTTCACAGTCAACATTCCACTGTAAATATACGAAAATCAATAAATATCAATGATTTACGAAGGTCGATACGATGAAACGCATCACGAAGCATGTTAAATATGTTGATATGCGTAGTAGCAGGCTTTATATTTCATCATGAATAACGCTTTTAACGCACTGCATAACGTTCTGTGTTACAACACCTGCCTGAGCGGCGCTTTGTTGACTCGTGTAAATGTTTCACCGCTTTGACTTCGCAAACGCTGAGTCGAATTGGTTAACTCGATGTTTAGCACTTTCAGCATACGCAGAGAATTTACGCGTACGTGCGGAATCCCAACAATAATCTGCTCTTTACTTGCATGCAAAATAAAATTTGTTATACGAGAAGTTTCCGCGTGTTATAGTAGAGTGTGCGCGGTGCAATAAGATAATAATTCATGTCCGTAATCATATAAAGGATCTATGATAACACGACGGGAAAACAACGGAGTAAAAATAATTTTTTTTTTCCCTAGTCCTCCGGACACGCGTTGCTACGAGCGTGCTAACGATTTATTTCCCAATATAAAGGATCTATTAAATAAAACATATACCTGGTGTAACGACTAGAGTATTGCGAGATTAACAACTCATGGAAACAAGGCACGCATCAAAGTCCTGCCAAACGTATTTCCGATATAGATATCCGGGCAGGATATACGCATATAGTAAATCGAATATCAGCTCGAAAACAAGCCAAGTAACAAAACAATTTTTTTCGCAACCTTTCCCTCTGGGAGGGGGGGAAATAAATGGGGAGGGGGGCGAACGTATTTTTCGAAATCGAGGCTTTTATATCTCTCACGGCAGCGCGGTGCATTACTTCCCGTTCGTCACCGGAGAACCCGCCGCGCGCGTGTACCATGTTTCGAAACGATAAACGTAAACGGGAACAGGAACGTGCGGCGCGTTGTCACGGTTTGTCAGGTCGTTCATTCGGCTGTACCGGAACACAACGGTACCGAGGGGCTTGTTTTTGGCGCAACGCGATTGGCGGTCATCGCGCCACCCCGCAAACCATCGCGCCCAACGCGCGTAACAGCCTACGGAAATGTTCGAGCGATGATAAAAGCATCGTAGACCCAACTGTTTTACGGCGATTACAGCGGTCAAGGGTGTTGTTAACGAGACGCCACCCCGCAATCTGCGGTTTGCGTTACGGTAATACGATAAAACCGCATATTTCGTTGTTAGGTAACCCCAGCTGCGATTTGCGCGGCTCGATCGAAAAAGATAGCCACAGTTTCGCAGACTCATTAGGACATGTGCAAAAGTATCCCAATTAACAAATGCTCCCTCCTACCACTCTCAGTTGCCGATCGTTAAGATCTAGAACATTTCGTTCTTTTTAACGATGTGCATGTTCACAATGTTTTAAAGGGATAACAGGCGTTGAGAAAAAGAATAGCGATAAAAAGAATAGAAAGATTAATGATTTATACGGCGAAACAGAGATTAGTACTAAATATATTGAAATGTGATTACGCTTTCCTGTAAATCTTTTCACATTTTTTTATCAGATGATTTATGGTAGATTTAAAGGAAATATGTTCGGATAAAGTTTATCTCTTAACTATTAAAAATTTGCTGATAATATCAGTACAAGAAATATGATAGTAGAAGAAATATTATTAAAAGATCTGATTTAATATATATAATTACTAAAATTTGGCAAAACATTTAAAAAATCTGTCAGTATATACTATAAAAAAAAAAACAACTAAGTAAAAATATGATTCGAGTAAAAATAATTTGAATACATTTAATTATTTATATCATAGATATGTTTGTGTCAAATATTCTTCCGCACATTATCGTTATTCGGATTACATTATTTTATCCACCCCAACATATATCTATGTAAAATTACTGCTTATCGATCCATTTTCAATTTACATTTTGGTAATTGTATGTCAATATATTATTTTCTGTGCAGAGAAATGGCTCATTTTATATTTTATTAACGTTTATTAAATGCCAAATATTTGCCATTTGGAATTCATAAACTCGTTTATTTTATTAAAATTTTCACGTTATAATGATCCTATTCATATATCTAGTTAAAAAATGTTTGTTGCAATTTTTTTTATTAACAAAGAATTATAATTAAAAAATGTTTCCCTTTTCTTGCAAAAACTTTAAAATTTATTAAGAAAAATAAATATAAAAATATATTTTAAAAAATATGTATTAAAATATAAATATATTTTAGGAAAATAGATATTAAAATTTGGATAATAATGTGTGTGTAAAAAAAATATTTAAAAATATTATTTACTCGAAATGTTTATCTAAAAATATTCATTTATTTGTTCGTGCATATAATTTTATACTTTACTTTTATCTAAAGAAAATAACATGAAAATATGATGGACTGAATTGTCTTTTGTACGTTACTACAAAAATATTTTGTTAACATAAAACTGTATTAAAAATGAGTACAATACATACTATTTTACTATTATTATATACATAATAATACTGATTACAATATTGAAAATACGTGAACAATAAGCAAATTCAGTCCAAACAAATACGAAATGTTATCGGAGATCTCATTTAGTGACTCACGTCGACATTAATTCCGGAAATGTTGAAGGTCTTGGGAGATGATTCCTCGGTGGGTGAGAATCGGTAGAATTCGTGCCTGCCCCGATACCACTTGAGGGAGTAGAGTGGCGCATTCTCCAAATCATAATTGCACCGCAGAATCACCATCTCGCCACGTTGCACCACGTTCGGATCCACCTCTAGGCTGACCCCCCGCAGGCAGTTCGCACCTTTCAGGAAAATGAGAACAGGAACACAGGGCATTAAGTCTAGCGCGCATCATTAGTTCGCTTTTACTCGTCGCGCGAGAGGTTGCACAGCACGCGTCAGCGAGAAATTGCAATTCCGCCGAATGACAATTTCCCTCATCCTCCCCTCAACCTCTCTCGCAACTATGCATGCAACCGCAAACACACGCACGCGCGAGCTCTCACGTCCACGCGGCCACGTACCTGCATACATATATTAAACCCAGCCCCATCTCGTATCCCAACCATTTTCGCATAACCCATACTAGATGCTCTGCAAACTAACCCTCGCACTCGAACGAGCGCGATGTTTTTTGCTGAAACTCCGTTATGCGGGGATTATCGACAATTCGACCTATTAAGCCGGAGCCCGCAAGGAAGCCAAGCGTTGGATAGCGTTCATATTAAAACAAAATGTGTGCGTACTTCTATGTGTGTATGTGTGAGAGGAAAGGGAAGAGAGAAGAGGTCTGCAACTCCTTGGTGCAGAATGAAGCTCTTATTACGTAGTACCTCCGGGCTACACGGAAATGGGTACAGTCTACAAGCCGCGAATGGGAACAAAACTCTGCACGGTTACTTCCCTCCTCAAAAGCATCAGGAACATATGCTACGCTATATGTAATATTTTAGGAAATGTGGCACTTTGTACCTACTACGGACGATGCACGTTTTCACGCCCATACGGAAATGTGTTTACACATCGATGAAATGTGTAAATTTTTCGTCACATCCATTCCATTTATTATAACATGCTGATAACCTGCTCGTAAATACTCCTGTGCTCTGTATCGTATATTGAATACTAAATTCTTACAAAACATCTTGGAAAAACATGCTTTCAAATATGATTGATGATTGCAATTTCATATCATCCAATGTATTAAAATTTAATATTTTTGTATGTTTCCAAAGTAAATTTTATATCTCATTTTTACACATTTTATGTCACTACAAATTGCGTGATATATTTTAATATTTTAGCTTTCATTTTTCGTGAATTGTACAAAAATTTATTATTTAAAATATGACATTTTACTATATACATATCATCATTATGAAATTATATTGTAATTATAGTAATTTATTTTAGTAAATTTATTATAATATATTACATATTTTTATCGTTTTAAATTTTGTGCAATAATATATATATATATAAATAATTATTTATTTATTTTTCGTTAAATCATAATAATAATATGAGTAAAAATTAAAATATTATCTATATACATATATATACTTGATGAACTTCTAGTGAAATGAAAAGAAATAAAAATTAATAGAGGTACATATTTCTAAGTATTTGTATTATAAAAAATTAGAAGGTTTTTTTATAAGAGATTACCGAACTTTCAGATGAGCACCTTTAATGGCACGAAAGATATTAAACAGGTATTTCACTTTATACCAAATGCGTCGAAGTATATTATTAGTTATGGCATAATTTGATTGCGCAAAACATTCACATTCGACATATTGGCGAAATAAACTATATCTTTGATATATCCACAGAAGAAGAAATCTAAAGTAATATCAGAGAAATAAGGTGAACCAGGGCATGAAGTCTCTTCCGTCTAATTTAACCCTAATTCCATCTAATTCCATCTAACTGACCTCTAAAAGTCAATAAAGATAGTCATGCATGAACTGTAGTAATTACATGCAGAAAGGTTAGTAATTTTTTATAAGAAACTTTTTTTAGTTTTTCTTTGCAACAAAAACAAGCAGAAATGTATGTTTTTTTTATTTCCCACCATTTCAAACCGGAGGTTCATTGTGCGCATATATACGTTGCACTTTTTTTTAAATATTAATGCTTTTCCTCATTTCATATAAATTAAATTTGGACACGAGCGTTTATAAAACGCTCACAATTAAATTTAGCATGAAAGTAGGTTAAATAAATAAATAACTCATCTTATTCAAGCGACTTATACCTACGCGGAATGAGTTTATTCAAAATAAGAACATCTGACCGGGTTTAATATTGTGCACATGTTACACTAAGTCCTCAGAAATGAAAAAGAAACAGACGGCGCGGCGGCGCCACGTTAAATTGTGCTATATAAGAGCAAGAATACTCACAAAGACAAAAATTATTAACATGACATATCAACGATAAAAACATTGTTAACATAAAATTAAATATCGTATATAAAGTTATTAAATTATCAAAAATTAAACAATTTATTTATGTTAATATATATATATATCTCTATATATTAAACTTCACATAGTTAATTCATTTTCAATAAATTCCTCATGATAAATATCCAATCTAAAAAAATCTCATTCTAACTTGTACATAATTATAAACTATTAGAATACAAAAGCAAGTGGATCTTTGTCTATCAGACACTATTTTTGTAATAAGACTTCTGAATTGTCTTGTAAACAATTTTATGACGTCGTATAACAAAGCGTTTTTCATACAGTCCAGGGAATGTCAGTTAAGTTCCTTGATGACAAAAAGATACGAATTTCCCCGTTTACTACGAATAAGACTCGGAAAGTTGAGAGCTTTTTCCTGCTTAATTTTCGTTTGAAAGGCATCCTGAAAAATGTGGACTGATGTGACGCCAGTTTTAAGTTTCCAGGGACTTCTTTTGAAGGGTGCAATACTCGCATCCCTCGTTTTCCCTTGCTTTAGTTTCGTACTGCCAACGTATCTACATTTAAACTCTCAAGACCCCAGCTAGCTTCTATGCTTACAGTAGCGCCACTTCTTACACAACTAATTATTCGTAAAGAAAGCTAATTTAACGAAACACTTAACGTTTCAGCAATTTTCTTTGAAAGAAGGAAATGCACGCCACGCAACGCGAAATTACCTCGCTTGCTGACGTCAAATGGGACGATGGATTTTTATACTTTCATAAAGGCGCTCGTTTCTACAAGCAGTAGAAGCCAATACGATAACGGTAGTATATTTTATGAAGTAAATACAGTCGGCCCACTCTATATCGGTTGTGTTTAGTACTTATAATTTAAAGAACGTTTAATACTTATAATTTTTAAATTATAAGGAAAAAACTTAAAATGAACTTTTGAGAGACAAACTGAATGAACAGATTTGAAAGAAATATTTAAATTAACAGCGGTAAATACATCGCGAGATTACGAGTAATAACATTTTTGTGAAGCAGCAAGGTATACATTTTTATGATGGATTTATATTTTAAAACTAAAGAGCTTTTGTAGGAGGCATAGCCTGCAATTACATGGATAATAAATCCATAGGATAATTTTTTTTTTCCAATAATTAGCAAGTAGACTTTCTTTCTGATGAAAGGAGGTTGCATTTGTTCTTTTTGTTCGCTGCCATCATCCCATCGCTTTCCGCTTTCGCCAACTTCGAAATTTATAACAAAGTTTTAACAACTCGTCTTTCCTGTGTTGCGAGTAAAGAAAGTCAGGGATCCATCGCATCGAGAGCAGCGTAACGAAGAGAAATGTGAATTTGAATATACTTAGCCTTTAACATCAAAACTCCGGATAAATAGTGATAATTTGAGCGGATGTATAAAGATTAATCTTAGTAGTTTGTGTAGTTGAGAATGCTTAAGTAAAATCATATCTGTCAACTGAATATCACATATTTAGAATAGATTAATCAAATTTGTAAAGATTATTATTATTATTATTTAAAGTGTTATTATTAACATATTTTTTTAATAGTCAAATTTTGTTTTCGATTTTTGTAGTAACGAGTTGTGAACAAGTTCATGTCCATTCGCATTATCGCTATACAAATTTATACCTCTTGTATGATTGTTTATTATTATCAAAGTAATGCTAATATGATCAACTTTAGATTCTAGCGATTGTAAATTTATGTTTGTTGGAAATATCAACAGAACACGCACGATACACAGATAAGTCGTAAATGAATGTTTAGTTACAATAAACAACAATAACTTGATATTTCGTTTAATATGTTTATGTGAGAAACACTGATTTACGTGATTATCGATAAAAGATTATTTGTTACTGATACTCGAAACGTATCGGTTACAATTAATCAGCATTTCATCAAAACTGGTTTTTCAGTTGGTTTAAAAAATCTGGTTACATGGGCGTTGATCAAAATATCGAGCGAAGTTACACGTACATGCTAATCTCACATTTGAAAAAGTAACATTGGTTTTTCCGGCCGCTGCAAACAGATTTGATTGCGATAAAATTACGTCGATTTAACCGAACGGAAAGATTATCCCGGGTATATCGTTTAAAAGTAAAATCTACCCATGACATTTTTCGCGCGGAGGTATTAAACGGCGCAATCAACCCGAGTAAAACCATTTTCGTTAAATACGATCGACGCGATTTGCGAAAGCCGTTTCGACGGCTTCGGCAATGAGTTTTGCGGTACAGACAGTTTAATGCTGGGTGCGCCATCCCAATATAATTCCAGTACGATTGCCGAACGTTTCCGTCGCGGACGAATCATCGCGTCTGTACGCAAACGCGCCTCAGGCAAATTAAGTCCCACTCGTGTAACTACGAACGGCTGCGATCAGAATTGCAAAGTCCCGTGTACACTTTTCCCTTGTGTCTCTTTTCCATCGTCCCGACATGCGGCCAAACCCATGAGACGCGTCATAACGCGCGAGATGTATACATTTTACGACACATTGCGTGTTACAGAAATCACAGACATACGAGACATCACGTCGATCGATTCACTTTTTCGCCACGTCGACTACGATTTGTCTGTAATAAAACAACAGCATAAAGATGTTGGATGATTTTATTAACAAAATTTTAATATTATTATGAAGTAATCGTACAAAACCTTTCTTTGCAATTTATATTTAAAAAATCTAATATAGTTTTATGCAATTAAACTTATTAACTAAAAATGAAATTTTGTTGATCAGATTCTATCTAATAATACTTTTGAGATTTCCACGAATATTTTCGTCATTCATAAAGTTACGCGGTTTTGTGGGTTATCTCTCCCCCTCCCCCTCCCCCCA